CCCTTTTGTTCGACGCTGCGCTACATCAATGACCTTCATGTCTTGATTATGGTCTTTCATATCCCAAGTTATAACATTTTCAACTGTTAGACACTATCAAAAATTTTCATAACGACAAACAAAAGAAATTTACGGTATATATAAACTTGTGGATTGAGAAGTCTCAAATTGCACCAGGAGCTCGCTCGATAAAACCATGTTGAGTAGTAAAGTTCATATAAACTGCAAGATTTAACGATTTAATTTATGTGCAGTCAGACTTAACCGATTTTATTTTTATCGATAGACCGTGTTGAGTAAAGTTCATATAAAGCTTAGTAGCAACTCAAGCATTTTATTCTAATTTAATTTTAACCCCAAGTTAATTTCTTGCTAGAACTTAATGCAGAAGGAAAGAAAGCTAGGAACAGATATATAAAACCAGAAAGCAAGAACAAATAAAAACGAGCTTTTGCATTGAGAAGTGGTCGACTAATTCTCGCGTAAAAGCACATTTGCTATAGTTTTGTCCAAAAGTACATTTTTTCATTTCTTGACAGTATCATCTATCTAAAAGATCGTCTCAGCATTTGACGAATGGCATTTTTCGAACATAAATCGAATCTTCTTTTAAGGTGTAATGAATAATAAAAAAAAAAAGCCTGTCGAAGTTTAAGAAAGTTTTGAATGGTTTTTAAGGATTTGTTTCTTGATCTGATCAAAAAAATGTGTTGTATATATAGATGAAGGAATTATCGTAAATAACATGAATCTAATAACCACATCACATGCATTTGCCTTTCGACTGTCATGATGAAAAATACTAAGACATTACGACAACTTATGTGATGGAAAAAAATTGTACCTTACCAACTATAGCAGCATAGCTTTCAAATGACCCAACTGCAATAAACTCTATATAACATACAAAATTTTTGGTTAATGTAGAATATATATAAATGTGGGGGACCTTATGTTATATATATTCACAAGGCAAAAACAACTAGTAAATGAGAGTTCACATGGATATGTCGTTCAATCGTCGAATATAAACCCAAGTACCGTTTTTACATACTGAAAAGCACTTAACGTGTACGTATCGTAAAATAAAGCTATGGGTCCTTTAAGGGCTAATGTTGGTACAGTTGGTAGGATACAATGTTTTTCCATCACACAAATTGTTGATTTGTCTTTAAATCATTATAATGTTAGGAAGACAAATGCATGTGATTCCATGCATATACTCTTTGTACCATTCTCTATAAATATACTAACTCATTTTATGGATTTTGCTTCAAGCAACTAAGTCCTCAAAACACAAACTTAGCTTCTCTCTGCTTTGATTTTAGGATTCGATTTAATTTTTACACGAAAAATGGCCATTCGAAAAATGTTGAGACGATCTTTATCCGGTGAAAAAAGATCAGCTGAGGTCCCAAAGGGGCATTTCGCTGTTTATGTTGGGGAAAATGAGAAAAAGCGGTTTATAATCCCTGTTTCGTACTTAAACAATCATTCATTTCAAGAATTGTTGTTTAAAGCTGAAGAAGAATTCGGGTTTCATCATCCAACGGGCGGCCTTACAATTCCGTGCAGTGAGGATTTGTTCCTTGATCTAACCTCTCGTATAAGTTGAGTGTTGTTTGTGTAGATTTTTCTTTTGTTCTTGGCATAGTTTTGTAAATATAGGTTCAAATTGGGAAAGTGATGTAATAAGGATTGAAAATATAATGTTGAGAATGTATATGAAAAGTTTATATATACTGATCCAATTTCAGCTATAAACATTATATCTAATTTGGTTTGTTTGTTACAACTTACAACTAATTCTGTTGCTAGTCAGTTAACTGCCATCGTTGAGTTCTTACGAAGACAAATTCCAACAACAGAAAAACAAAATGTGAACTCGAAAACGAGAATTGCCCGTTTCAAGCTGAAGAAGAATTCGGGTTACATCATCCAATGGGCTGCCTTACAATTCCATGCAGTGAGGATTTGTTCCTTTATCTGAGGATTGAAATGTTGAGAATGTAGAAATAAATATAGAAAAGTTGACACATCGTATACGTATTGCGATTCTTGATTTTATTTACTTCGGTGTGGTCCTATGTTGTATTTTCTGCTGGAATCTTTGAAAAATTTATCAAGATTTGAAAGTAA